ATATATACAGTATTTTCCACAAGCATATTGTGTATGAAACTATGCACACATAAACACAAATTATTAAGAAAAAAGCTGTATGGCCCTTGTGGTTTAGTGCTTCTGTTTTGATTATAATAATAATAATAATTAAGAAAAAACTATAGGATTCCATGAACATGACAAAGTTGATGAATTAACTAAACAAACATTAAATAAAGAGAAGGTTTATCATAATTTTGGGTTTTCTAAAAGAACCTTGTGGAGTATTAACAGAAAGGAACTAGCAAAAGAACTTGAAGACAGATAGGTGCTAGCACATCCATGAAATGTGTCAAGTTGAATATAGCTATGGAGAAAGTAACAAGAATTGCAAGATGCTACTGCTAGACTAAGACTAGACTATATCTCTGGCAGTACGGTTTGTACGGAGGTGTCAATGACATAAAATGCAGACTGTGTTGCAGAGGCAAAATCATGCACTCCAGCATTATATGATTAAGAATTAGATACATGAATTAGAGGACCTACTTCCACTGATAATGTCTTCGTATACTGCACCTCATTCACTTCAAGTATATGAACGCCAATTAATGAGACACTTATGCAAGATTCCTAAATGTCGCACAAGTGTCTCATTCTTCAACTTACTGGTTTTCTAAATCATTTACATCATAATCACCAATCTTCCTGCCTGTGCTTCAGATTCTTGAAGACTACGGTGGTCATCACCTGCTCCTGGACTGAGGGAGTGATTACCTTATCTTCCGCTGTCTTCTGTATATATTTCTACAGTCTTCAGATTATGTCAATGTATTGTATTGATAAAACCGATGGCTAAGCCTCTACAAAGTAAAGATTCCAAGATGTTGCACAGGTGTGTAATTCATCATTTTGTTGGTATTGTGTACCACTGATGTATGGATCATTATATTCTAATATCTGAACATCCAGCCCTTCAGGGACACCTCCATGCTGTGGAAATTTATTTGGTCCCTAAAGTTCCACAGCAGATCCAGCATGGCCGTATGGGACGGCTGAGCCGGGCGGCCCTTAAACCCTCCCAAACAAAGCATTCTCTGGTTGGCGGTTGTTGGTAAGCTTATTTAATTTATAGATTTACTCTTCAGGGAAGGAGTAGGTAGTTTTACTGATAGTATATTAATATTAGGATTATTGAGGCATCTGTAGATAATAATAGTGTAGACCTAAGACCTTAACATAGGTAGTAATAGGCCGATAATGTAGGCAAACACTAGGGTAAGTTAGTTAGGGAGAACTGGCAGCCCTAGTTTGAACGAAGAGACGAGGGTCTGGAAGAGGGACCAGCTCGTTCTTCTTACGACAGACACCATCAAGACAAGACGTGCCGTGAACAATAGATGGCGCCCCCACGTGTCTTCACATCTGAGACCTGGGGAAATCTGGTAGAGGCACCTCGATGTACCGTAGATGACCTCCTCCATCAGCCCGTACAGTAAGACAAAACCTCCACCTTTTTCCTCGTAGATTCTGGCCGTGTCTTGGAGTTGTGGGTTGAGTTTTAAGCTGTGGCCCGGTGTGCAACAGAGAGAGCATGCCCAGTAGTACCAGTGTCTCAGAGCCATCTGAATGCTAGTGTCTGAGTCTGCTAGTTATACTAGGGGATACATACCCTCTTGGATATAGGAATTTCTGAGGTGCAGGCAGGACACTAATTACGATTGAATATTGCAGGAATTAATGCTCCCGGTTGCACGTGGTTTCTGAGGGGGAGTCCAAAGGGGCTAAGGCTAGCTTTGGGAAGTGAAGATCAGGATACATGCTGCAACACCAAGTAAGTTAGTCCTTTATACGTGCATGCAGGTGAGGTTTCTTGCAATACCAATCATTTGTGAAAATCTGTCCTATAAGCCACTTGTGAGGCTGAGGTACCCACCTCAGAACTCGGTGTCAACAGAGTTTGCCAGGGTAGGCGACTCACTTGGAGGCAGTCCACACAAATTTTCACACATGCAAACCTTATAGAATATGGCAAAACACTTCATTGTTAATGATAAGTTATCTGAAATCTTAAGGTTTTATTCACATCTTGCATCGACTGAACTGTTTTTATAGAGATTGCAACCCAATCTCTGTAATTAGATATCAGTTAGATATCAACTTTTTGAGACTGTATTCCTCACTGTACCATGTACAAAAGCTATATAAAGTAATTGTACAATATGAAATGACTAGTATTTTTTTACTAGTGATGTAACAATGCTCGATCACTAGCGCACTCGGCTCACACACTGAGGTCCGGAGTTCGAATCCCCGGTACGGCTGGAAAACATTAGGACGTGTTTCCCTAAGACACCTGCTGTCCCTGTTAGCACGTTAGTTTAAAATGGGTACCTGGGTGTTAGTGGACTGGTGTGGGTCGCATCCTGGGACAAAACTGACCTAATTTGACCGAAATGCTCTGCATACAGGCGACGGAAAAGAATAACAGAGCGGCTAAAAGAGGTCAATATATCTGAAATGCGCAGGGAGACACTGGTCAGAGAAATAGCAAGCATCGAACTTAAGCTAAAAGAATCCTTTAGGAGTCAGGAATCGCGGGAAGAACTAAAAGCTATAAATGAAATCGAAAGAAACCCAAAGTATTTCTTCTCCTATGCCAAATCAAAATCGAGAACAACGCCCAGTATTGGGCCCCTACTTAAACAAGATGGGTCCTACACAGATGACAGCAAGGAAATGAGTGAGCTACTCAAGTCCCAATATGACTCAGTTTTTAGCAAGCCGCTAACCAGATTGAGAGTCGAAGATCAAAATGAATTTTTTATGAGAGAGCCACAAAATTTGATTAACACAAGCCTATCCGATGTTATCCTGACGCCAAATGACTTCGAACAGGCGATAAATGATATGCCCATGCACTCTGCCCCAGGGCCAGACTCATGGAACTCTGTGTTCATCAAGAACTGCAAGAAGCCCCTATCACGAGCCTTTTCCATCCTATGGAGAGGGAGCATGGACACGGGGGTCGTCCCTCAGTTACTAAAAACAACAGACATAGCCCCACTCCACAAAGGGGGCAGTAAAGCAACAGCAAAGAACTACAGACCAATAGCACTAACATCCCATATCATAAAAATCTTTGAAAGGGTCCTAAGAAGCAAGATCACCACCATCTAGAAACCCATCAGTTACACAACCCAGGGCAACATGGGTTTAGAACAGGTCGCTCCTGTCTGTCTCAACTACTGGATCACTACGACAAGGTCCTAAATGCACAGAAGACAAAAAGAAGCGAGTAATATATACAAAATTTGCAAAAGCCTTCGACAAGTGTGACCATGGCGAAATAGCGCACAAAATGCGCGCTAAAGGAATAACAGGAAAGTCGGTCGATGGATCTATAATTTCCTCACTAACAGAACACAGAGAGTAGTCGTCAACAGAGTAAAGTCCGAGGCAGCTACGGTGAAAAGCTCTGTTCCACAAGGCACAGTACTAGCCCCAAACTTGTTCCTCATCCTCATATCTGATATAGACAGGATGTCAGCCACAGCACCGTGTCTTCCTTTGAAAGATGACACCCGAATCTGCATGACAGTGTCTTCCATTGCAGACACTGCAAGGCTCAGGCGGACATCAACCAAATCTTTCAGTGGGCTGCAGAAAACAATATGAAGTTCAACGATGGGGAAATTTTCAATTACTCAGATATGGTAAACATGAGGAAATTAATCTTCATCAGAGTACAAAACAAATTCTGGCCACAAAATAGAGCGAAACAACCAACGCAAGACCTGGGAGTGATTTTGTCGGAGGATCTCACCTTCAAAGGGCCATAACATTATATCAATCGCATCTGCTAGAAAAATGACAGGATGGATAATGAGAAAACCTTCAAAAACTAGGGAGGCCAAGCCCATGATGACACTCTTCAGGTCACTTGTTCTATCTAGGCTGGAATATTGCTGCACTCTAACAGCACCTTTCAAGGCAGGTGAAATTGCCGACCTAGAAAATGTACAGAGAACTTTCCGGCGCGCATAACGGAGATAAAACACCTCAATTACTGGGAGCGCTTGAGGTTTCTAAACCTGTATTCCCTGGAACGCAGGAGGGAGAGATACATGATTATATACACCCGGAAAATCCTAGAGGGACTAGTACCCAACTTGCACACGAAAATCACTCACTACGAAAGCAAAAGACTTGGCAGACGATGCACCATCCCCCCAATGAAAAGCAGGGGTGTCACTAGCACGTTAAGAGACCATACAATAAGTGTCAGGGGCCCGAGACTGTTCAACTGCCTCCCAGCACACATAAGGGGGATTACCAACAGACCCCTGGCAGTCTTCAAGCTGGCACTGGACAAGCACCTAAAGTCAGTTCCTGATCAGCCGGGCTGTGGCTCGTACGTTGGTTTGCGTGCAGCCAGCAGCAACAGCCTGGTTGATCAGGCGCTGATCCACCAGGAGGCCTGGTCACAGACCGGGCCGCAGGGGCGTTGACCCCCGAAACTCTCTCCAGGTAAACTCCAGGTATAACAAGCGGCTTTCTATATAGTAGTATGTTATTGATGTCAGCTATGGTCTGTATACCTTGTACATGTACTTGTAGAAATAAAGATACTATATTATGCTCGGTGAGGTCTGACAAAAACCTATTGAGACTTGTAATCCTATTTTTTTTTTATGAGCTACCTCTCCCAGGATGAGCTGTGGGTGCACAATAAACTAACTGCTCAGGCAGCACGGCTGTATAGCCCTTGTGGTTTAGAGCTTCCTTTTTGATTATAATATATATATCAGGCATCACGACTAACTACACGTTTCTTTTTTTCAGGAAGAAACTCCATTTCCTTTTCATTTCAGCCCACATTTCATGCAGCATATTTTTCCCGGACTCCCGGGAGGTAGGGTTCATTAAGGTGGCTTTAGTGGCCCTGAATAACCACATAAACAACAACATTGTCTGGGAGGCTTTGTGGCTAAGTGGCTGGCTAGGTGGATAACTAGCTGGCTGAGTGGCTTTAACTAGCTTGCTGAGTGGCTGTCTGGGTGGATAACTAGCTGACTGAGTGGCTTTAACTAGCCTGCTGAGTGGCTGTCTGGGTGGATAACTAGCTGGCTGAGTGGCTGTCTGGGTGGATAACTAGCTGGCTGAGTGGCTTTAACTAGCTTGCTGAGTGGCTGGCTGGATGGGTAATTAGCCGGTTGAGTGGCTGGCTGGGTAACTAGCCGGCTGAGTGACTGGCTGGCTTGGTGCATAACTAGCTGGGTGAGTGACTGATTGGATGGGTAACTAGCTGGCTGGCTGGGTAACTAGCTGGCTGGCTGGGTAACTAGCCAGCTGAGTGCCTGGCTGGTTGGGTGGGTAACTAGCGGGCTGGGTGGTTGGCTGGCTGGGTAACTAGCCGGCTGAGTGGCTGGCTGGTTGGGTGGGTAACTAGCTGGTTGAGTGGCTGATTGGATGGGTAACTAGCTGGCTGAGTGGCTGGCTGGCTTGGTGGGTAACTAGCCGGCTGAGTGGCTGGCTGGTTGGGTGGGTAACTAGCCAGCTGAGTGGCTGGCTGGCTTGGTGGGTAACTAGCCAGCTGAGTGGCTGGCTGGCTGGGTGGGTAACTAGCCGGCTGAGTGGCTGGCTGGTTGGGTGGGTAACTAGCCAGCTGAGTGGCTGGCTGGCTGGGTAACTAGCTGGCTGAGTGGCTGGCTGGTTGGGTGGGTAACTAGCCGGCTGGTGTATGTGGTAATGTCGGGTGTATGTGGTATTGTGCACTATGTTTAAGTAGATTAGGCAATAAATAAGTTTATTTAGGCACATGTTCACATAAATACAGCTACATAAACTATCATATATAGTAACATATGTGCAAATTACCTAGGATAACCCCCCAAAAATATCAGAGCGATTTATTTCCATCCATGTTCTTCACTTTATTATTCGTAGCATCTTTATTATTGTCATGAAGGGTTTCAAACAGTTCATAGCATTTTTGAGATGGAGGATATGCTGGATTGAAAAGTTTTGGCATGACAACCAAAGGCTTCATGATATAAGTTTATTTAGATCTCATTCATGACTTTTACAATGGTTTTTTATCGTAAATTACGTACAATTGAACCAAAGTATGATTCGGTAATGTCAAATAGTGGATATATAAACACATAAGCAGTACAGTGTAATTCTTTATTGACAACATTTCGCTCACACAGTGGGCTTTATCAAGTCACAAACAGATCTACCTGGGTGGAAGGTACGTGAGTATTTATAGGATGAAGTCAGGTTGAGAATGCTGGGTCAGGTGGAGAATGCTGCGTGTGACAATTTACCAAGTAGGGTCATAGTCTAATACCTTGGGTAGCTTTGAAGAGAGATTGGCTAAGTATATGGGTAGACCTTCTGCAGTGTTCCTCCATTCTTATGTTCTTATGTGGGATAGCGATGATGAAGTTTCTTGGCAAGGGGTTCAGCTATGTTATAGATGTAGATCTACATGAGCAGTGCTGACTTCAACAACATAGCTGTACATGGAGACAGTGAAAGTATTAAGCTCCTCTCTTCATGACTCAGTCATATTTCTGGTTAAGACTTTTGTTTGCTTAATTAGTTGGTGACTTTTATTGGGCAGATTTGATTCCTAAACAGATAGAATTAAAGCAAACTGTTTAGCATTAATTACAGTTCAGTATTATATTTGTCACTGACTTGCAGTTTTCATTCCAGGAAATTTGCAATGGCTCCTCCTAGAGAGTCACGGTATGACAAAAAGATATGGGAAGTTGTGGACACCCTTATCAGCATATTGACAGTCCCATTTCTCCATGCCATCTCCCTGTTTGGCTCCTGCTACTGGATCACCACTTTTGACAAATCCGCATTCCTCTTCATGTTTATGAGGTCTCATTATTACTTGAGCCTGTGTACTCACCTAGTTGTGGTTGCAAGAATTGAGTCATAGCTGCTGGCCCTGTGTGTGTGTGTGTGTGTGTGTGTGTGTGTGTGTGTGTGTGTGGTGTGTGTGTGTGTGTGTGTGTGTGTGTGTGTGTGTGGTGTATGTGTGTGTGTGTGTGTGTACTCACCTAGTTGAGGTTGCAGGGGTCGAGTCCAAGCTTCTTGCCCTGGAGTGTGTGTGTGTGTGTGTGTGTGTGTGTGTGTGTGTGTGTGTGTGTGTGTGTGTGTTTTATAAATTATGATCTTACACCTTGAAAATATGATATACTATTTCTTTTTATTATTACTATAAGATCTTGATTCAAAACCTTTCAAGTGTGTTACATGCAAAATAAATTACTTCTGTTTGTTTCCTTTTTATTCTGTAGGTTTGCAGTTTTGGGCCCAATTTTTTTCATCTTGGCATTTGTGTTAAGTCCATTTGCTCTTGTGGGATACATCCTGTGGGTGCTTCTCAACTCATATGTCAACATTCAACCATTCTACTCTGTTTCTTCAAGTCAGAGTCGGTATCCCTCTGAAGGACACTACTGTCAGTCCAAGTTCACCCTGTGTTCTGCAAATTTGCTCCTGTGCTTGGAGATTATAGGACGCATAAACAACAACAGGTAAGAAATACAGATGTACAAAACCAACCAGTGACTTTTCACTTCAGCACGGTCAGGATATGTTGGTATTGTGTACCATTACAGTATTGTAATAAAATAACAAGTAGGGAGCTTATTTCTAGTCTTTTAGGTAAATGGGTACAGTTGCAACTAGTAATTGTGGCAGCGTTTTGCTCTCCAGGAGCTATTACAGCTTGACTAAACTTCTGGAGAGTGAAATGTTGCCACAATAAAATGTCACATTAGTTTTTCATGTGTCCATTTACCTAACATTTTGAAGGAAATTCTACCATTATTACAATTTCTAGTCTGTTAAAAATTCTATACCTTTCATGGAAGGAAGCAGGTGACCAGTAATGGTGATTGTGGTAGATGGAGATGAGATAGCTTTACAATGGTCATAAAAATAATAGACCATTCTGTTATCAACTGACTTTGTTTGTTAAGATAAGATTTGTTCGGATTTTTATCCCAGAGGGTTAGCCACACAGGATAACCCAAGAAAGTCAGTGTGGCATCAAGGATTGTCTGCCTTATTGGGGTCCTTCATTCTTGTCCCCCAGGATGTGACCCACACCAATTGACTAACACCCAGGTACCTGCTTACTGCTAGGTGAACAGAGACAGCAGGTGTAAGGAAACATGCTCGACATTTCCACCTGTGCCAGGGATTGAACTATGGACACTCAGTGTGCAAGGCGAGAAACATTGCCAACTAAGCAACAGGATCTTGGTTTTAAATCATTTGATCCAGTGGACATTGTCCTGTATTTCTAGAAACTGTTAGATTGAGGTCTGCTAAACCAAGGATTTCTTGGCTATGCTAGTGGCAGAGCCTCCTCTTGATGGATCTATAATGCGACAAACATAACAAAGTTAGACTGCTGTCTTTCAGTATTTTTCAAAATATAAATTTTTTTTTTAATGTGCATGATTAAAAATAAATATTTAACTTTAAACAGCTGCTGGTATATGTAAACACACACTGTACTACGGTAGCAGAATGTAATGTACTTTAAAGAAAAATTGTATGTGATGACATATACCTGACTTTATACCTGGAGTATACCCTCTCCAGGTATGAAGTCAGAAGTACTGAAATTACCTATTTGTAGCTAGAGGAGTAGGGCTATGTTTGCAGTGGTTTGTCTTCATTAATATGTCCATCATGTATTTTTTTTTTTTTCAGATTTCTCCCTTTGGTTTTATTTTTTTAATTTGTATCTGTGACCTCTTGTCATCCCATTTGAAGGTAATCAAATTGTCTTTATTCTGTCATATTGTTCATAAGCTTTCATGCTATCGCATCATCTCTCTTCCTTCTGTCATCCAGCGTATGCATCTTCATTGTTTTCAGCCTTTCATCGTTATTCATAATTTAGCTCTAGGATTCATTTGTGGCTCTTTAGAATTTTTCTTGCTGATTGACTTGCCTTTTTTTTTATATGTATGAACACCCCAGAGTACTTGCCTATTCTAATTTTGGCCCAATATACATTGTCAAATTTTTTTCTGAATTTTGCCCTCGAAATATTTAAAGCCTGTTTTATAGTTATCAGGTATGGCATATGTAGTTCTCACAGTTTCATTTGTATGATCTCATGATGATATTTTCATTAAAAATAATCCCTAGATCCCTTCGTATGATACTCACCAAATTGTATGAGGGTGTCTTCACAAAATTCAACTTCAATAACAGAAACATACAATGGAATCAAGTCAGCCATGTCCTAAATGAAACAAGCTGGAAAGATATCCTAAAAATATGGATCTGAACCTTTGCCTAGGAAAAAAAATTAACTCTGTGGCACTTGAAGTCTGCTCAAGGCACATTCCATTAAGAAAAAGAAAGAGAAGATGTAAACTAGAAAGACAGAGAAGCTCCCTATACAGGCGAAGGCAAAGAATCACAGAGCTGCTGAGAGGGGCCAATATATCTGAAATACAAAGGGAGGCACTGGTCAGAGAAATAGCAAATATCGAACTTAAGCTTAAGAAATCTTACAGGAGACAAGAATCTCAGGAAGAACTAAAATCTATAAGGGAAATTAAAAAAAAGACAAAATACTTCTTCTCTTATGCCAAATCTAAGTGTAAAACAACATCCAGTATTGGGCCCATGCTTAGGCGAGATGGGACATACACAGATGACAGCAAAGATATGAATGAGATACTAAAGTCTCAGTATGACTCAATGTTCAGCGAGCCGTTAACCAGACTAAGGGTTGATAATCTAAATGAATTCTTTATGACTGAGACCCAAAATTTAGTCATCTCAAAAATCTCTGATATTATCCTAACACCAAAAAACTTTGAAAAGGCAATAATTGACATGCCCATGCACTCTGCCCCAGGCTTAGACTCATGAAACTCCGTGTTCATCAAGAACTGCAAGAAACCCCTGCCACATGCCTTCAGCATTCTATGGAGAGGGAGCATGGACACGGGGGTCGTCCAACACTCACTAAAACAACAGACAGCTCCACTCTACAAAGGTGGCAGTAAAGCAATTGCAAAGAACTACAGACCAATAGCACTAACATCTCATATCGTAAAAATCTTTGAAAGGGTTGTAAGAACAAGGTCACAAACCACCTAGATACTCATCAATTACACAGCCCAGGGCAATATGGGTTTAGAGCAGGTCACACCTGCCTGTCCCACCTACTGGACCACTATGACAAGGTCCTGGATTCTGTAGAAGATAAACAAAATGCGGATATAGTATACACAGACTTTGTGAAAGCCTTCGACAAGTGTGACCACGGTGTAATAGCGCACAAAATGCATGATAAAGGAATAACAGGAAAAGTTGGTAGATAGATTTATAACTTCCTAACAAATAGAACACAAAGTGTAATAGTAAACAGAGTAAAGTCTGAGGTAGCTATGGTGAAAAGCTCTGTTCCACAAGGCACAGTACTTGCTCCCATCCTATTCCTCATCCTCATATCTGACACATGTGTCTTCCTTTGTGGATGACACCCGAACTGCCATGACAATGTCCTCCATCGAAGACACCACAAGATTCCAAGCAGACATTAACCAAATTTTCAAGTGGGAGACTCAGAACAATATGAAGTTCAACAAAGAGAAATTTCAACTACTCGGATATGGAAAACTTGAGAAAATTAAAACTGTATTAGGGTATGCAACAAATTCTAACCAAACAATAGAGTGAAAAATTAATGTGAAGGACCTGGGAGTGATAATATCAGAAGATCTCACCTTCAAAGACCACAACAGTGTATCTACCACATCTGCTAGAAAAATGATAGGATGGATAATGTGAACCTTCAAAACTAGGGACACCAAGCCCATGATGATTCTCTTCAAATTGCTTGCTCTCTAGGCAGGAATACTGCTGTACATTGAACTGCCTCCTTCAAGGAAGGTGAAATTGCTGACTTGGAGAGTGTACAAATAACTTTCATGGCACACATAAGTGTGATAAAGCACCTAAATTACTGAAAACAGTTGAAGTCCTTTGATTTGTATTCCCTGGAATGCAGGCAAGAAAGATACATGATAATATACACTTGGAAAATCCTAGAGGGATTAGTACCAAACTTGCTCACAAAAATCGCTCCCTATGAAAGCAAAAGACTCGGCAGGAGATGCAACATTCCTCCAATGAAAAGCAGGGATGCCACGAGTACACTGAGAGACAACACAGTAAGTGTCAGGGGCCCAAGACTGTTCAACTGCCTCCCAGCATACATAAGGGGGATTACCAATAGACCTCTGGCTGTCTTCAAGAAGGCGGTGGACAGGCACCTAAAGTCAGTACGTGACCAGCTGGGCTGTGGTTCGTATATCAGTTTGCCTGCAGCCAGCAGTAACAACCTGGTTGATCAGACCCTGATCCACCACGAGGCCTGATCTCAGACCGGGCCATGGGGGCATGACCCCGAAACCCTCTCCAGGTAACATACATTTTTTATGCAACCTGGTTTCACTTTCTTCTATTTCCATTACATGTCATTTGTCAACATTTTATTTCATCATCCATCTGTCATTCCATTTGCTCAGTTTATTTAGATCTTTGCCAGTAATGGTGATTATGGTGAATAGAGATGAGATTGGTTTTAGTGATTGCAGTAATAGCTGAATTCTGTAACAAACAGATTTTTTCTGTTGTTGCAGATTTTCTCCTGTATATTTCTGAGGTTTCTGCATGGGGAAGCAGAGAAGAATCACTCCTCCCATAGCCATGTGTGTTGTAAGAGGCAACTAAAATGCTGAGAGTAAGGGGCTAGTAACCCCTGCTCCTGTATAAATTTAATATTCAGTGTAAAAAAGAGGAAACTGTTTTTCTTTTTTGGGTCACTCTGCCTTGGTGGGAGATGGCTGTTGTTTGAAAAAAAAAATCTGATGTTCTCTACGTATTATAGTGTGAAATCCCATGCCACATGAACCGCAGCTCATGCTAGCTAGTTCCTTAAATAATGTTCCTTTCCATTTTTTTTTTTTTACCTTTTTTTTCCAACCACCTGTGTCTCACTCCCACTCCCACTTACATTTTCACATTGTTTTCCTTGTGTTTGTTTGTTACTGTTAATGTTACAGGAATCATCAAATCAGTCCTCTTAAATGGAAGAGTAAGTACAAAATTACAGGAATAAGAACTATTTCAAAACATACACAGGGCACTTGTGAAGTGAAAACTGAATATTATAAATTTAATCCAGAAAGGGAATTTTGAATAAAAAATCTGAAACTACTGTACAAACAATATTTGTATTTTTTAAAGCAAGAGTGTGAAATATTTCTATTTAACATGAATTATTTTCTTTCACGTTGGAAAATATATTTGTATAATATCGTTGTAGCAGAGGGACACTTAATATATTTGTAAGTTTTTCCCTTCTCCAATATCTGTTTGTGAAATGCTTGTGGTACAGTATTAGTAAATGAAGAGAAATAAGTAATAATGAATTATCTATAATATATCTCTAAGATAGTTTGGACATATGGAAAGAATGATTGATGATAGGATTGCATTAAGAACTGAATAGAGTAAAGCACAGTGCCTTCACTCTGAAGGAAGTGTGAGGATGTTGCAGATTGGAGGATCATCTGAACTGGGATGTTAGCAGACTTCTGGCTTCACAGTGATTGGATGAGTGATGGTGAATGTCAGTTAAAAAGCGAAAAAAATTCAGCAAACTATAATGATAGGTAGGCAGACAATTTCTTGAAAGATAATGGAAAACTACATACGGGAGAGGTTCCAGGAGGGCGTACAGGTTATAGTGTCTAGAATTTTATTTACATAGAGCTGCCTAGTGGTTTGGTTGTCATGGCCACATTCTTTGAGGAATCACTGGGGCAACTGCATACAGTATAGAGATATTGATACATACAGAGATACTGATATATATTGATCAGTAGTATACTGTTATGTGTATTGATCCACAGGTCTTTCAGCATATTCATTCTTTTAATTACCTCTTTAAAGCACTTTCATATATGCAGAATAATTACTCTGTAATGCCTGTTTTTTTTTTTTCCATCTCTACCAAAAGTAACATGAAGATTGAGAAACTTATGTAACGTATGGGAATCTTTATTGAGGAAATGTTTCCCCACACAGTGGCTTCATCAGTCCAATACAGAGCAGAAAGGTATAAGGAGAGGTGGAGTTTGAGGTAATCAGTCCCTCAGCCTGGAGTCAATGTGTTCAGTCCATCAATCTTGTAAAATGTACAGCATATGCTGCATAAGTGTCTCAATCTTCAACATGTCAGTTTTTTAAACCATTTATCACATCTGTCAGACACTGCAGCATCATGGGATCTTGATACAAAGAATTCTTCAAAACATGTCCAACCTGTGGACGAAGACCTACTTAGACTAGTGGACGGTTCCACTATGACCCCGCCTCCTCCTGCTTTGCCTCACCTGACTACAGTATATGAGCCACGTCTATGGCCCTATGCTGTACATTCTACAAGATTGATGGACTGAACACATCGACTCCAGGCTGAGGGACTGATTACCTCAAACTCCACCTCTCCTTACACCTTTCTGCTTTGTATTGGACTGATGAAGCCACTGTGTGGTGAAATGTTTCCTCAATAAAGATTCCCATATGTTGTATGAGTGTCTCAATCTTCAACTTGTTGGTTTTTTAAACCATTTATCACAAAAGTAACATGTTACTCTACAACATTCATTGTATGCATTAAGTAGTTTAGGTACAGTATATTCAAGTAGAAGACTGGGAAGTATACTCTCATTGTACATATTATTTATAACAATGATTCATTGCTTAACTCTTCTGCTTGAAGGCTTAAATATTTTTCATGTTGATCTTCTTATCAGGAATGTGTACTGGCGAGTGAATGAGATTGCTAGACGTCTCCTTCATCAAAATCCTTTGTTAAATCTTAATCAGAATCTCCAGTCTCCAGTGAACAGGGAAGATATTGTTCAGAGTAAGGTAGGATTATTAATATATAGTACATTAGTAGAAACTTTGAAATGTCAGGCTTTAATTACCATACCAGTAGTTTATTGGAATATTGTTGAATGAAGTTCAAAACTTTACCTTCACTCTCATAAATAATGAGGGTTGATAAAGTGAGGGTTGCCTAATATTCTCTTAATTCTTACCCACTTTCATCACAGTATGCTTCATGCACTATCTTTAGTTTTTTGACAAAAATATGTATTTTTCAATTGTGGTCTCACCCATTGTGAAGAGGATGCCGTGTAGGATAGTGAATAAATTTTCTGGGCAAAATTTTGCTAACAGGGCTTTACAAATTTGGACTTCAAGACTCCAGGAATTTATGATGCTGGGAAGGCTTTTGTTAGGCTCTGAAATCAGTAGTACAGGGAAAGCACCTAAGCTCAGGAAACAAACTTTTCTAAGATTTACCACTCGTGATTAGAGATACCTGTCATTTCTTGGCACCCAGTATCTGCAGGTTGATAGTTGTGCAGCAAGTATGAGTGTACATGCTAACATTGCAAGAAATTTCAGACTTATTATGCCATGTAAGAGGAAGTTAGTAGTGGCTAGTGATATTTCAGTGATAAATGCCATTCAAAGGGAATATCTTGATGTCAAGGAAGGGATGCTTATCCAAGGAATTGGAGCTACACTTCCTTTCCTCGGATCAAACGTGACTGTCTCCCATTATTCTGGTGTTGTATAGTGTTGTGCAACCCCTATGGGTTTAGCACTTTCTCATGAATATGTTAATAATATTCAAGGTTACTGGATTTGAGGTCTGGAGGTGAGAAGGACAGTGCCTGCACTCTGAAGGAGTGGGGATATTGTAGTTTGGAGGGTCATTTAAACTGTGAAGACTGCACACTTCTGGCAAGAGAACTGTGTAATGAATTATGGTGAATGTGTTTCATTTTTTGGGGTCACCCAATCTTGGTTGTAGATGGCTGGTGTGTTAAAAAATTAAGAGTAGACAGTATATCAAAAAGATAACACATTAAACTTACAGTACAGTTATTAAGGAAATTGAAATATTATATAACTTGGATAAATCTTCATCAGTTGAATAATTATGCTGTGATTTTTATATTTTTCACATCACCCATCAAAGTAAGGTGACCCAATAAAGGAAACACATTCATCATCACTCATTTAATAGCTATCTTGCTAGAATTGTACACAATTCAAACAGCCCTGAAAACACCTTGGACAACCCTTTCAAGTGAGAACTGTTGGATCTGAGAGGGACCTGACCTCTCAGTGGCTACATTCTCACTACTACTACTACTCTGCACCTCTCCTGACAGTATTTAAGTCTCCGCACTGTCGCTTGATCTTCAGATAGTTCCTGACTATGGAACTGAACTTCTCCAGGCTGAGGGACTGACAACCTCAAATTCTACGACTTCAAGGGTGATGGACTGATTACATCGTCTTCACATCTCTACTGTTCCTGCCTACTTTCTGTATTCGACTGAAGAAGCCTACTGTGTAGGCGAAACGTTTCGGAATAAAGTTGTCTAACTGTTGCCTATGTGTCTTACCTACCAACCTGTCGGTATTTTATACCATTTTGATGTTCATCTTGTCATACACTGCAACACATGGCCTCTTGGTACAGAAAACACCTTGGACAACCCTTTCAAGTGAGAACTGTTGGATCTGAGAGGGACCTGACCTCTCAGTGGCTACATTCTCACTACTACTACTACTACTATGCACCTCTCCTTCTGACAGTATTTAAGTCTCCGCACTGTCGCTTGATCTTCAGATAGTTCCTGACTATGGAACTGAACTTCTCCAGGCTGAGGGACTGACAACCTCAAATTCTACGACTTCAAGGGTGATGGACTGATTACATCGTCTTGACATCTCTACTGTTCCTGCCTACTTTCTGTATTCGACTGAAGAAGCCTACTGTGTAGGCGAAACGTTTCGGAATAAAGTTGCCTAACTGTTGCCTATGTGTCTTATCTATCATCCTCACCCATCCTTCAAAGTAGTCATTGTATTTCCCATCTTCCAAACATAGAGTGCAGTTAATAATATGGTGGTAATTTTTTAAGTTATGATATGAGAGGTCCTCAGTTAACAACACTTCACAGTACAGTGTTTTGATATACAAGTGCTAATACATCAGGGAAGGTACTTATTACACTACAGTAATGTGTGTCTGGAAATTTTTGTTATACAAAAATATACACTTTAAAGTCTGGAGTAATATCTGATAATCAGATTTTTTTTAATAGGGAAAATTCTTAATTTAATTTAAAAAATCTATCATTTGGCTATAAATTACTAAAAACAGATGGTTGCTCAGGTGTTGTCATATATCTCCCCAGTGTCCAAATACTGTGCTAAGTTTTGTATAATTGTGTGTTTATATAGGCACCATTTTATACATTTTGGAAATTTTGGGGGGGAGCCTGATTCCGCATTTATAAAGTGGTTTAGGCCTTATCCATGTTTGGTATTTGGTTTCACGTTGTATTTTCTAGTTACTGATGTAAATATAGTACCTGGTTGATAACAAAGGTTACTAGTTCAGTGGAAGAGCAGGTACTTGATGCAAATACATTCACCCCTGATTTTGACATGCATATAGAACAATACGCAAATTTCTGCACATGGGAGAATAAAACTTATGACAATGTTTTGGTCTGCCTTGGACCATTAACTAGCCACGTGACTAGTTAATGGTGGCGGTTGGGCCAAAATCTCGTCGTAAGTCATTCACCTATGTGCTGGTATGTGTGTATTGTTCCAGTCACGGTATTGTGCCTTTTTATTCTTTACACTTATAGAACAGCATGTCAGTTCAGATGATAAGGAATGTGAAGCAACTGGCATAATAAACACTCAGCTTATCATTAAAATTATTTTCTTTTATATTTTATGCTATTAGGGTAGGGATATATTTTTGGGGAATTGATGAAAGAATTTGCCATGTCAAGCATAGTTAATTATACCATGACTCTTCATACAAGGTTAAGAACAAGAATGAAGGTCACTAGAACATGACCACAACAAGAAGTTACAAGTAATTAACAGTTCAAAATAAATCTTCAGATGATGTTTCAATCCATACTGAACTATTGTCATATGTTCAGGACTGACCAAAGCATTAAATAATAATAATAATTAATAATAATATAGTAGTAGGTTGGTAGACAGCAACCGCCCAGGGAGGTGCTACCATCCTGCCAAGTGAGTGTAAAACGAAAGCCTGTGATTGTTTTACATGATGGTAGGATTGCTGATGTCTTTTGTCTGTCTCATAAATATGCAAGATTACAGGTATGTCTTGCTGCTTCTACTTACACTTAGGTCACACTACACATACCACATACATGTACATGTTTATTTATACACACTCATCTGAGTTTTCTTTGATTTTATCTTAATAGTTCTTGGTCTTATTACTTTTCCTTTTATATCCATGGGGAAGTGGAATAAGAATCTTTCCTCCGTAAGCCATGTGTGTTGTAAAAGTCAACTAAAATGCCGGGAACAATGGGCTAGTAACCCCTTTTCCTGTAAAGATTACTAAAAAGAATAAGAAGAAGAAAATTGTCAAAGTGGGAAGTCTGAATGTGCGTGGATGTTGTGCAAATGATAAGAAAGAGATGATTGTGGATGTTATGAATGAGAAGAAGCTGGATGTCCTGGCTTTAAGTGAAACAAAGCTGAAGGGGGTGGGAGAGTTTCAATGGAAAGGAATAAATGGGATTAGGTCAGGGGTTTCAAATAGAGTTAGAGCTAAAGAAGGAGTAGCAATAATGTTGAAGGATAAGCTATGGCAGGAAAAGAGGGACTATAAATGTATTAATTCAAGGATTATGTGGAGTAAAATAAAGATTGGATGTGAAAAGTGGGTTATAATAAGCATGTATGCATCTGGAGAAGAGAGAAGTGTAGAGGAGAGAGAGAGATTTTGGGAAATGTTGAGTGAATGCGTGGGGAGTTTTGAATCAAGTGTGAGAGTAATGGTGGTTGGGGATTTCAATGCTAAAGTGGGTAAAAATGTTATGGAGGGAGTAGTAGGTAAATTTGGGGTGCCAGGGGTTAAATGTAAATGGGGAGATTTGGTAATAAGTAATACATATTTTATGAAAAAGAGGATAAATAAATATACAAGGTATGATGTAGCACGTAATGAAAGTAGTTTATTAGATTATGTATTGGTGGATAAAAGGTTGATGGGTAGGCTCCAGGATGTACATGTTTATAGAGGGGCAACTGATATATCGGATCATTATTTAGTTGTAGCTACAGTTAGAGTAAGAGGTAGATGGGAAAAGAGGAAGGTGGCAACAACAAGTAAGAGGGAGGTGAAAGTGTATAAACTAAGGGAGGAGGAAGTTCGGGTGAGATATAAGCGACTATTGGCAGAAAGGTGGGCTAGTGCAAAGATGAGTAGTGGGGGGTTGAAGAGGGTTGGAATAGTTTTAAAAATGCAGTATTAGAATGTGGGGCAGAAGTTTGTGGTTATAGGAGGGTGGGGGCAGGAGGAAAGAGGAGGGATTGGTGGAATGATGAAGTAAAGGGTGTGATAAAAGAGAAAAAGGTAGCTTATGAGAGGTTTTTACAAAGCAGAAGTGTTATAAGAAGAGCAGAGTATATGGAGAGTAAAAGAAAGGTAAAGAGAGTGGTGAGAGAGTGCAAAAGGAGAGCAGATGATAGAGTGGGAGAGGCACTGTCAAGAAATTTTAATGAAAATTTGAAAAAATTTTGGAGTGAGTTAAACAAGTTAAGAAAGCCTAGGGAAAGTATGGATTTGTCAGTTAAAAACAGAGTAGGGGAGTTAGTAGATGGGGAGATGGAGGTATTAGGTAGATGGCGAGAATATTTTGAGGAACTTTTAAATGTTAAGGAAGAAAGAGAGGCAGTAATTTCATGCACTGGTCAGGGAGGTATACCATCTTCTAGGAGTGAAGAAGAGCAGAATGTAAGTGTGGGGGAGGTACGTGAGGCATTATGTAGAATGAAAGGGGGTAAAGCAGCTGGAGCTGATGGGATCATGACAGAAATGTTAAAAGCAGGGGGGATATAGTGTTGGAGTGGTTGGTACTTTTGTTTAATAGATGTATGAAAGAGGGGAAGGTACCTAGGGATTGGCGGAGAGCATGTATAGTCCCTTTATATAAAGGGAAAGGGGACAAAAGAGATTGTAAAAATTATAGAGGAATAAGTTTACTGAGTATACCAGGAAAAGTGTACGGTAGGGTTATAATTGAAAGAATTAGAGGTAAGACAGAATGTAGGATTGCGGATGAGCAAGGAGGTTTCAGAGTGGGTAGGGGATGTGTAGATCAAGTGTTTACATTGAAGCATATATGTGAACAGTATTTAGATAAAGGTAGGGAGTGAATGGAGACGAATGGTACTTGGGACCTGACGATCTGTTGGAGTGTGAGCAGGGTAATATTTAGTGAAGGGATTCAGGGAAACCGGTTATTTTCATATAGTCGGACTTGAGTCCTGGAAATGGGAAGTACAATGCCTGCACTTTAAAGGAGGGGTTTGGGATATTGGCAGTTTGGAGGGATATGTTGTGTATCTTTATATGTGTATGCTTCTAAACTGTGTATTCTGAGCACCTCTGCAAAAACGGTGATAATGTGCGAGTGTGGTGAAAGTGTTGAATGATGATGAAAGTATTTTCTTTTTGGGGATTTTCTTTCTTTTTTTGGGTCACCCTGCCTCGGTGGGAGACGGCCGACTTGTTGAAAAAAAAAAAAAAAAAAAAAATAATTATAATAATAATAATAGCAATAATAATAGTTTATTTCCACAGGGTACATGCAGAACATTTTGGGAAGATAAAATATATCATATTAGCAGAACATAATTAACAATTATCTCCAATTTTTGAGTTAATTGTGAATGGTTCACAAATTTGATTACCTTTATTCTTAACCAAAGTGGTTCTGTGGAGGAGGAAATTAATTTACTCCCACTGGAATAAAAGATGATACTTGAAGCTTTTGTACAGTGTATATTCCCCTGAGGAAGACTTGTAAAACACCTTAAGTGAAATCCTGGAGTTATTTTTTTTTTTAATAGTAGCTATCTCCCACTGAGGAAGGGTAACCAAGAAAGAAAAATCACATTCATTGTCATTCATTCAACTGCTGCCTTGCAAGAAGTATGCTGACATCACAGCTCAGTGAACTGCTACACTCTCACCGCTCTTGTAGAGTGCCAGCACAGTGTTTCCCATTTCTAGGACTCAGTGCCAACTAACTAGTTATCATGAACACCATGGAGTTGCACATTTAATTTTCCTGTTCTGCTGCCTTGCCAAGTGATTACCATTATGTGACATACAGTTTTTGTACTATAAATGATCTATCTTTTTTTCAGCTACCGGAAGTCAATGTGTTTATCCTTCAAGAAGTGTTCCTAAGGCTCTTTGGATCACAACTGATCAAGCATTTAAAGCACAAGTATCCTTATATAATCTATGATGTGGGTATTCATCGCATGGACACCAATTTTTGCCTTCTTGGTAAGTTATACACATTCATCTTGCTGTAACGAGAAAAGGTCAGATTTTTATCATGTTATGGAAAGTAAAAAATCTTTTAAAGCAGGAAAAATGCATATTATGTATGTTATTTAATGACTGTTTTGCAGTGCTGCACCACATAGAACTGTACAAGCAGGTCCTGCTTTACAGTGCTTTGCTTTACAATGTTTCACTAATGCAGCAGTATGCAGTTATACCTATTCTTTATTTATTTGGACTTCGTACAATAAATATATTCAACACTCATTATAAGCTAAGGATGGAAATATTTTAAGGTAAGTAATGTGTGTACTGTATATTCACTTTTTTAGGCCTAGCTCTATTGCTCACTTAATATATAACATGTTATCAGATTTTTATATGCATTTGAAAGTGAAAAAAAGGCTGTTTCACTTTACAAAAATTTTTGCTTTGCAGCAGTAGCCTGAAATCTAACTTGTTGTATAAGTGTAGGCCCTCTTGTATTATATTTGTTTGCACCCTTTCTGTGGAATGAGGCAAACCAGTCCCAGTTTTAAGGGTAATTCTATTTATTTGGTTGGATTTATAGACTAAAAATTGTTATCCTTCCTTGACTTATTTAATGAGGCCTGGTCACAGACCGGGCTGCGGGGGCATTGAACCCCGGAACTCTCTCCAGGTAAACTCCAGGTATGTCAAAACCTAACCCCTAGGATGTAACCCACAACAATCAGCCAGCTGGTCATTACACTGAATAATATGGTTGACTATTTACCATACCAGCTTAGAGGGAAATGGCATAAAATATTGACTTATGGAAAATAGAAACACAAATGCAGTATAATGTGATTTTTAATTAATAGTATTTTGCCCATACAGTGGGCAAAATGTTTGTCAATAAAGGATTGCATTATATTGCATTTATGTCTTTTTTTTTTCACTAAGCCAGATAAAAAAAAATTGCCAGATGACTATGACTATAGTATATCATTGATAGGTTCTTGGAAACTGCGATTTTAAGTGAAACGATGTATAGCAAAACCAGTTTTATCATAGGCTAATTGATTTAAACATCAGTGGTGCACAATGCACCTTCAGTACTCATTGCAACAGGGTTAAATCAAGAAATTAATATTTGCAGAGCGAAAATTGTAAGGAGCACCTCCTACCACCATGATGTTCAAAAACCAAAAATAACATATAGTGGACTCGCTGAGTGGGCAAGGGGCTAGTGACCCATTCTCCTGTATAAATTACTAAATGCAAAAAGAAGATTTTATGAATATGCCTCTAAATTCAGTTTTTCAGTTAATATCTATTATAAATTTTTCTGTAACTACTCAAATTATCTCCATCATGCTTGCAGTATATCAGCATTCATAATGATATAATTCCAACTTTTTATTCCCAGGAAGTGGGTTGTTCTTAGCATCGGAGTATCCAATTTTAGAGGCAAATTTCCATCCATTCACATACAACACCAGTTATGGGAAATTAATTTGTTATGGAGTTCTCCTGGTAAAGGTAAGAATCATATGTCTGTAATACTGTTGTCTAATACAACAAAATTTTCATATAGAAAATTAACAATTTAAGAAAATTGTTGATTTAATTAGTGACATTTCTTCTAAACTTGCATTAGATAACCTATGAAAATTTATTGTATTTTATCACCATGCTAATAAGCTTACATTATTTTTATATGTAAAAATATTTAACCAGGTACACATTTGTTAATTATTTTAAAGCCAACATGACATTTGTTTTTATGGGAAGAAATAATTTTTCAGTGGGTGATGTTTTGTGGCCTCTCATTCCTTGTATACATTTTTCTAGCATAAGTACTTGTGCCTCACACATGGTGCCCGAGCCATCACATACAGCTCTGTAACCTGCCGAACATCTTAATCGGGCATTGACTCCAGCGACTGGGATTTTAATTTAATATTTTAGAAGTAAGCCTTAGACATGGATGTGTAATGTCACCATGGTTGTTTAATATATTTACAGATGGTGTTGTAAAAGAAGTGAATACTGTACTAAGGTGTTGGACAGAGGTGTGGGCTGAGGAAGATAATGAATCTGATACAAATTGGAAGCTGTCACAGCTGCTCATTGCTGATGACAAGGTTCTTTTAGGAGATTCTGAAGAAATGTTGCAAAAGTTGGTGGAGGAATTTGGGAGAGTGTATGAGAAGGATTTTTAAAGTGAACATAGCAAACACAAAGGTGATGAGGGCTAACAAAAAAATAATCTAGGCAATGAAAGATTGGATATCAGATTGGAGGGAGGGAGTATGGATGATGTTAATGCCTTCAGATATTTGGGAGTGGACCTATCAACAGATGGGTCTATGAAAGATGAGGTGAACCATAGAATTGACAGAGGAAAAAAAAGGTGGATGGTATGTAGGGGTGGGGACAAAGGAGTTTATGGAAGCAAAGTAAAGGCGAGTGTACCAGAGATTTGGTGATACCACTGTTTTATATTGGTGTGAGGCATAGGATTTAAACATTGCAACAAGGAGGGCAAAGTGTAGTGTGAATACTGTATTATGCAGAGAATTCACAGCATAGAAATTAGAAGATGGTATGGGGTTATCAAAGGAGGGGGTTCTCGAAGTAGTTTGAGCATGTAGCAAGGAAAAAGAGTGTATAATTCTTGGGTGGAAGGAAGGAGGGATAGGGGTCACCCCAGGAAGAGCTGGAGGGAAGGGGTAAAGGAGGTTTTGAGCATGTTAGATTAGAATGAATTGAAACAAGTGATTTTTATAGCTTGCTGTGCTGTTGGAGTGTGAGCAAGTTAACATTTAAGAAGGGATTCAAGGAAATCAGTTAGCCAGACTAGTCCTGGAGATGGGAGGTACTGTGCCTGTACTCTGAGGTAGGGGCCGGGATGTTGAAGTTTGAAGGGTTATTTGAACTGTGATGTCAGCACATTCCTGACAAAACATCTATTGAAGGAATGATAGTGAATATGTTTACCTTCTTTTGGATTGTCCTACCTCAATGAAAGACAGCCATCATGTTTAAAAAAAAGTGCAGTGCAGCATAGGCAACATTTAACTTCTGGCATGAATTTATTTAGCTAAAGCAATACAATTGTCATTTGAAGTCAAACCCATTATTTTGCAGATTATTAGCTTCCTATTCACTTTTCAGCATAGAAAAGACTCTACTGCATATCTGTTACATAGTGTACATATTTGCATTCAGGGAAAATTAACTCCCAAAGCTCAAGCTTTGGGAGTTAATTCCAGGTCTCATAAATTGGAAAGGATAATGCCACAATAAAATGTCGCATTAGTTGCATGTGTCCCTTTACCTAACATACTGTTGGTAATCTACCAACATTATTATGACACAGAAGTTAGTATCTAGTTTGCTTAGGTCACTTGACCTCGTCAGTGTGTGCACTTCTGGGAAATATATTCTTTGTATTGTAATTTATTATTTTGTAAATATTCTCAAAGGTAGATAGGTACAATGTTAAAAAAAAAAAAAATGTGATAATGATGACTATGGATGTGGTGGGAACAGTGTTTTTTATTAGTATGCATATTTAATTTACAACAAGATTGTTTTCACTGAATATATATCATCATTTACAGCTTGACTTGGGAACATTGAAGAAAAATGATGTGGACATGCAGGCTGTTGGTTATGTTGCCAACACACACACACAGGTGAGGTGCTGTTTAAAATATATAGGCTTGATGATCATTACACAAATAACCCGCACATAGGAGAGAGAAGCTAATGATGATGTTTCGGTCTGACTTGGACCATTTACAAGTAACACTTGTAAATGGTCCAAGTCAGACCGAGTCATAAGCTTCTCTCTCTTATGTGTGGGTTATTTGTGTATTGCTCCGGTCATGGTATTGTGCCCTTTTGTTCTTGCTTGATGATTATATTACTATTTTATAATTATTGTAGTGATAAGCTCTCTGTTAAGACAGTTGAATTTTCTACTGCAAGACTGATGTGGGTAAATCAGATTTTAGTGGTATCTCCCTCAAAATTTACTTGTTGGCCTATTTTTTGTGTTGTCTGTGAATTAACTTGTGTTGCTTCTTATTCCTTCAAGGTCATTAATGAATGTTATGAACAACAAAGGACCCAAAACAGATCCTTGTGGAATGCCACTCATGACTGGTTCCCATTCTGGTTTCACCCAGTTTTGATTATTTAGACAGCAAAGAATTTGTAAGAGGATTTAAAAAAAAAAAAACGAGAGTATGAGCATTAGTTAGAGTTAAGAGAGTTTATTTACTTGCATTAACATTGGATTACCTGAAGCTGAGAATGTAGATATGTGAAGACACAGAAAATTACAAATAATGTAAACAGCAAATTTCCCTTATTTGACTTTTTTTTTTTTTAGAACTGAAGAGATTTAGAATTTTTGCACATTTCAGCTGAAAATATTCTAATTAAGATTTTCAAAGAATTTTTATAATTGATATTTTGGGAAAATGTTGTATTCTCTCTAATTCAGAAAAAGTGTGAATTGGAGAGAAATTTCAAAAAGAAGATAGAAATATTTCTTCTCAGAAAATTCTAATATTCATATAATAATCAGAACAAAATTTTTGGGAAAGTATTTACAGTAGTTTGAAAAATCTGAATTAGAGTTTTCCAAATTATTATTTAAAAATTTAATTACCATAATTGCTTTTGAAATTTCAGAAACATTCAGTAATTTCTTATCTGAATTCCAGATAAGAAATCACTGAAGTCCCATGAGCTTAGTGTAGATTACCTTTTAATGTTTTAACATTATGAGGAGCCTCTTATTTACCAGGCTTTCCAAGGAAAGGATCAAGTGTTGGTTCATCAGCTGGAGGAAGTCCGGCTGTGGATGAAGAGTTTCATCAGAGATACCCATAATGCTGATAGTGAAATTGTGGTTTTTGCTGTAATTGGAGGAGATTTCAACTGTGATAATATGTCGTCAGGTAGGCTCATGTTGGATGCAGAATTACTGATATTAATACTGATGCACTTGAACCTACCCAGCATCTTAACTTCTATAATGGTACTTGGGAGTTTGTTCCAATCATCCACAACTCTATTACCAGTGCTTTCCTATATCCTTCCTGAATCTGAATTTTTCCAGCTTAAAACTATTGCTGCAAGTCCTGTCTAGGCTAGATATTTTTAGCACTCGATTTACATCCCCTTTATTCATTCCTGTTTTCCATTTATACACCTCAATCATATTAACCCTAATTCTAGACCTTTCTCTTGAAAGGCTTAGAATTAGCACTAGTTTTGCTACTGGGTCAGATGCCGTGCTCCTTCCTTAATGCGGAGGTGACCTGACTGGTTGGGCCTTTGGCCTAAGCCGGGGGTTGACATGGACCTGCCCGCATGGGCCAGTAGGCCTGTTGCAGTGTTCCTTCTTTCTTATGTTCTTATTGAGGGGGCTTAGGAAATTTGTTTGTAAGAAAAGGAAATTGTGTTGTAAAGTTTTGAACTGTATATTTGAACTAAAATATCTCAGTATTTATTTTTTTTTGGATGTCCCTTCTGAAACTGTACTGAATACTTCAAATTTTTTATTTAAATGTGTAAGTTAGAAACATTGTTAGACAAGCTCCAGCAATTCCTTGTGGCATCTCACTAGTGATATTACACTTTTTGCATTTTTCTTTCACTTAGAATATCTTCTATCTGTTGTAATAGTTTTCCTTTATTGCCTCTGTTTTTTTTTGAGGTTTCTCATGGTAGTTTTTTGTGAGGAACTTTACCAGAAATTTTCTTAAAATTTTAATAAATAAAATACATCTATTTGTTTTGTTCTTGAATGCTTTCTGTGGCTCTGTTAGTACCTTAATATATTTTATATACTGTACTGTACAGCAGTTTTCTGACTAGAAAATAAAATGTTTGTTAATTAGCATTAGTTTGCTCTCTGTGTGTTTGTAGCATTATTCTCTGTTTGTTATTACGTCTGTGCTTGTCTGAGGTCACCAGTCCTGGTATAAATGCAACAACAGGGACATACTTTGTTATGGTACTGTTTTTGATCTTGGTTGAGTACAGAAATCCTTTTTCATACTTGTAGATTCCTCCTTCCTGTTTATATTCACTCAGATTTCACCCTGCTTAAAAAGCTGCTTCCTCTGATGATCTACCCAGCTGCTTCCTCCATTTTTAGCACAGTTTATTGATATGATTCTAAAGTAGGGCTCTCCTTTTTTTTTTTTAACAGAAAACTCTACTTGATACAAAGTACAATATAAAACACATCTTCTATGGAACATTGGTGGCCTTGATTTCTGCCTCCTAATCTTTTTTATTTTCAAATGCCAACTGGATTGATGTTCATGCAGGTCTTGTATATCACAACATTTGGGTAACAGTAGTTTAAATGATGGTGAACTAAGACTTAACTGAGCATCTTAGGCTATACCGGGCTATCAGAAGGAAGTGTCTTGTAGGAATTGGTATGACATTTTCTAAAGGGGTTTCCAGTGTTATCCCATAGTCACTTTTTTCATGTCAAAATGAAGTTTTATGTGAATAAGGACTCTAAACTGCTTACCTGAAACTAGTTTGTCTGACCGATTTTGAGTTATGGAGATAGGAAATCAAGTACCTACACTCTGAAGGATGAGTGAGGATGTGGCTCAGAGAGCCATTTGAGTTGTGATATTTGTGCACTTCTGGCAAGACAACTGTTGAATGAGTGATGATAAATGTGTTTTCTTCTTTGGATCTTCTTATCTGGATGGGAGATTATTAATGTAAAAAAAAAAAACTAAGTGTTTATTAGGATTTTTTTTTCATCAAACCTGCCATATCCCACCAAGGCAAGGTGATACTGCACTTTATATATGTAAAAATTCTATACACACTAATATAACAGCAAGCTAGGTGTTGTGTGCTACTAAGAGGGTCATATCCAAAACCACTTATACATGCAAGGATTGAATCTCAATTATTTTATATCTGCTCTATTAGGTGACAGGGGAACCCAAGTTCTTCCTTTGTGGAATGAATACGAGGATCCATGCCGGGTGTGTGCAGGAGATGACCAGCCTTGGACAATCGGCACAGAACACCGCCAACGTATGCTTCACCATCCATTAGTACAGAACCCTGAAACTTTTCGGAAAATTCTCCTTGATGATATTCAGCGGAGACGCTATATTCTGGATGCCACTGTGAAGGTAACTTAATTAGTCTGTGAAGGATTCATGGAAACTGGTTATTTTTATATAGCTGGACTTGAGTCCTGGAAATGGGAAGTACAATGCCTGCACTTTAAAGGAGGGGCTTGGGATATTGGCAGTTTGGAGGGATATGCTGTGTATCTTTGTATGTATATGCTTCTAAACTGTTGTATTCTGAGCACCTCTGCAAAAACAGTGATTATGTGTGAGTGAGGTGAAAGTGTTTAATGATGATGAAAGTATTTTCTTTTTGAGGATTTTCTTTCTTTTTGGGTCACCCTGCCTCAGTGGGAGACAGCCGACTTGTTAAAAAAAAAAATACAGTATAGTAAGTAGTGAATGCTATGAGCAGATAAGTCATTACCCTCAAATTACTGCCCAATTATCCTGACCTCAAGAAGAATCTTTTATATTGTTTTATATTTTTTCTTGAGCTATAAATGTAGGACATTTGCATATCTACACCATGGTTTGTAATGGAGAAGAATTATTCTTTGCAGTGTAGTTTCCAACTATTCCATTTACAAATTATTGAGGATTGGGATTCCACTTTGTCATACTAATATTTTGAAAGTAGAATTCATTATTAAGCAAAATTTGCATTAATGGTACAGTTTAGTGGATTCATTGATGCAATACATAATTTCAAGATTTTTTGTTTTCCCTCAATGGTTGACCCACAGTAGAAAACTCATTCACCATCATTTATTTAGTTCTTTCTTAATGTACAGTATATACATTTTATAATTACTCATCAGTTATAATAATCTCTGCAGGAACAGCAGCTGGATATGATGTGGATTGCCCCCAGTCTAGATCCATCAGGAGCACTGCATCCTCTAAGAGAAGGTGGCCGGCGAAGGATAGATCACCTGATTGTAAGATATGGCGATGAGGTCTCACCTTCAGCATTTTGGTTCAGCACTGTCATTGCTGGGCTTACGGATCATATCCCTGTAGCTTTAATGCTGGAGAGAAAACAATATTAAATGTTTCTTTGCTAAATACTAGTAGCAGGATGCAAGCTTAAAGAAAAGCTTGTATGAGTATTATTGAAGTTAAAGGAGATATATATTTTTAATTTGAGCATTTTAGTTACTGTTGACAAAATAACTGATATGTTAGTTTTCATTTTTAAATGTATTTTACACTAGTGATGAATAAGACACATTGCAACACTTGGGTAACTTTATTGAAAAAACATTTCACCTGAGCAGGCTGCTTCAGTCGAATACAGGCAACTGGAACAGCCTTGATAAATGGTGGTCAATCCTTCAGCCTAAAGCAGAGACATGCAGCCAGACCTTATATATTGACAATATAGATATCCAGGTGTTGCACATGTGTCTTCTTTGTCAACTTGGCATTGTATACCATCAATAATACCATAGTTTGCACTCCTTTGAGGGGCTCTTGATCCAAGCCAAGGAATTGGGCTCACCCTTCCTTTCCTAGGATCAGATATGAATGCCTCCCATCTCCCTTGGTGCTGCATAACCCTTACTGGTTTAGCACTTCCCCCAATGAATACAATAATAATAAAAAATTATTGTTTTAGAGTGAGTACTTAGATAAAAAAATGTATGATTAAAATATTATTTATCAGAATTTTGAACATGATTCTTCATACAAATGGACTTTAAAAGGTTCTTGTTGAAGTTATGCATTTAGCATGGTAAATTTTTTTTTCAACATGTCAGTCGTCTCTCACCAAAGCAAGGTGACTCAAAAAGGAAACACTTAACACCATTCAACACTTTCACCATCTTTCTTCTTTCTTTCAACAAACTGGCCCATATCCCACCGAGGCAGGGTGACCCAAAAAGAAAAAACAAAAGTTTCTCTTTTTAACTTTAGTAATGTACATAGGAGAAGGGGTTACTAGCCCCTTGCTCCTGGCATTTTAGTTGCCTCTTACGACACGCATGGCTTATGGAGGAAGAATTCTAACTTTCACCATCATTCACACGTAATCACTGTCTTTATAGAGGCGCTCAGATACGACACTTTAGATGTTACTCCAAACAGCCAATATCCCAAACCCCTCCTTTAAAGTGCAGGCATTGTACTTCCTACCTCCAGGACTCAAGTCCAGCTAACCAGTTTCCCTGAATCCCTTCACAACATATTACCCTGCTCACACTGCAACAGCTTGTCAGGTCCCAAAAACCATTTGTCTCCATTCACTCCTATGTATCATGCCCACACATGCCTGTGCATGTCCAAGCCCCTTGCACACAAAACCTGTTTTACCCCCTCCATCTTTTCCTAGGACAACCCCTACCCCTCCTTCTCTCCACCTCCACTACAGATTTATACACCCTCCAAGTCATACTCTTTTGCTTCATCTTCTCTAAATGACCAAACCACCTCAATAGCCCATCTTTAGCCCTCTGAATAATAATTTTAGAAACTCCACACCTCCTAATTTCCACACTACGAATTCTCTGCATAATATTTACACCACACATTGCCCTTAGACATAACATCGGCATTGCCTCTAGCCTCTTTCTCGCTGCAGCATTCACACCCCATGCTTCACACCCATATAAGAGTGTTGGTACCACTATACTCTTGTACTTCCCTTCTTTGCCTCCATGGATAATGTTTTTTTTGTCTCCACAGACACCTCAGTGCACCACTCACCTTTTTATTCTTCATCACTTCTATGGTTAACCTTGTCCAACAGATCTCTTACATAATTTCAAAGCTTATATATTTTTTGCATCAAGATAATCCACACATTTTGTGTGTTATAGTGCTGAATTAATTAGCTGGTTCATGAGGTTGTTAAATTATATTTGTCTTCTATTTATGAAATATAATTTTAGGCCGCAGAGTATTTGCTTGAAATACATTCCAGTATTGCTGTTTATTAATGTACAATACCACTGAATGACCCATGTGGGTTTAGTACTTTTTGTAAACAAAGTATGTAATACAGTTAATATCATTGTTTCTTAGATATAATCAAAACTTGATGATTAAGATGACAGTTTTATACTGTTTAAATAGCAACCAAATGTATCATTCTCACTTGATGTACGTTGCTTATTATAGAACACTTCTATCTAGCCTTGTCATCATTTTTTGTTTTCCTTCAATCATACAGAAATATTAAAATAAAATTTACCCATAAAATTTATTTTCAGTATACAGGAGGGCCCTGCTTGTACAGCAGGTTAGGTTCCGGGCTACTGCTGTAAGGCGAAAATCACTGTAAAGTGAATCATAACCTTTTCTTCACTTTCAAATGCATATAAAAGCCTGATAACATGTTTACACTATCATATATTAAGTGAGCAATAGATCTAGGCCTAAAAAATGCATGTACAGTACATGGAAATAAATGGTATAAAATACCGACACAATGGAAATATAAACACATATGCAGTATAATGTGATCCTTTATTGACTACATTTCGCCCACACACTGGGTTTTTTCGAAACATAGTCAATAAAGGATCACATTATACTGCATATGTGTTTATATTTCCATGTACAGTACATACATTGCTTACCTTAAAATGTTTTCTTCCTTAGCTTGTAGTGAGTGGTAAATGTATTTATTGTAGGAAGTCTGAATAAGTGAAGAATGGGTATAATTGAAAACCCACTGCAGCGAAATGCCATAAAGTGAATTGCTGTAAAGTGGGGCCTGCACATACAATGATGCCCCTGTATTTGCAAATGTTTTTGAGTTCTAGATCAGTGGGGAATCTATGAGTGTATTCTTGTGTACCTAGAGCAGAGGTGAATATTAATACCTATTTTAAAAAAAATACAGTGGACCCCCGCTTAACGATCACCTCCAAATGCGACCAATTATGTAAGTGTATTTATGTAAGTGCGTTTGTACGTGTATGTTTGGGGGTCTGAAATGGACTAATCTACTTCACAATATTCCTTATGGGAAAAAATTCGGTCAGTACTGGCACCTGAACATACTACTGGAATGAAAAAAGTTCATTAACCGGGGGTCCACTGTATATTGTCTTTAATGACAAAGTACTGTATTATACTTTGTTATATTGATAGTGAGGCTGTGAGGTTCATGAAAGCTAAAGCTGATTCCTCTCATGGATTATCCAGGTTTGACTTATTCAAGGTGGTGGTTCAATGTAGTTGTTGTCATTATTGCTGTGGTGAAGTGATTACTTCAGTTGTTGCTGTGGTAATTACTGTAATTATTGCTGTGGTAGTTACTGTAATTGTTGCTGTGGTAGTTACTGTAATTGTTGCTGTGGTAGTTACTGTAATTGTTGCTGTGGTAGTTACTGTAATTGTTGCTGTGGTAGTTACTGTAATTATTGCTGTGGTAATTACTCTTAATTATTGCTGTGGTAATTACTGTAATTATTGCTGTGGTAATTACTCTTAATTATTGCTGTGGTAATTACTGTAATTATTGCTGTGGTAATTACTCTTAATTATTGCCATGGTAATTACTGTAATTATTGCTGTGGTAGTTACTGTAATTGTTGCTGTGGTAATTATTGCTTTGGTAGTTACTGTAACTTGCAGTGGTTACTGTAATTTTTGTTGTAGTGATTGCTGCAGTAGTTGCTGTGGTAGTTACTGTAAAGTAATTATTGCAGCAGTTGTTACTGTAGAATTTCCTGTGGTGGGCAGGCTTGCCCCAACCACCTTTATTGCCTAAGGAGAATCCCTCCCCCACACTCTTGCCCCTTGCTTCCCCTCACTTTATTATTGCATACCTTACTGTAAAATTAAGATTGTGCTTACAGTTTTTTTGTCAGCATCTCTCCTCGCTATCCATTCCATCTCCTAGCCCCGTTGTGCTCTGCCAGCCATGAAATTGGATAATAAGAGACCTAATGAAGTCATGGCTAGGATGGCTGTATATTTGTAATGTTACGAATTTTGGCTGTGAAGAGGTATATCCCCCCTTCTCTCTGCCCCCCTGTCCCCCAAAGTTGGGTGTTCTTTCTCTCCCCATCCCAAAGGTTGGGTGTTTTCTTTCTCTCCCCATCTCCAAGGTTGGGTGTTGATATGGTAGGGCTGCTGATTGACTCCCACGAGCTTAAAATGTTTGTGAATATCACAGCAACACAGGGTAACAGTAACACAGGGTACCAGTAACACAGGGTATCAGTAACATAGTAACAGTAACACAATAACAGTAACAGCAACACATGGGATAACAGTTACTAACCCTGACACCAGTGAAGAACTACACCAGTTTGTGCACTTGTTTGTGACAATAAGGACCCTCCAGGGAGGGTCCTTGATGCTCTGCTTTCTTGAATCAAGCCTAAATGTTTTTCATTCCCCAGTCATGATATTACCCTCTATGAGTTTAGTGCTTCCCCTTGATTAAAAAGGAGGTGCCTTGGCAGGCTCTTGATCTAGGGCCCCTCAAGGGAGGTTCCTTGATGCTGGTGAGGGACTCTTGATCTAGGGAATTGGATCTGTACTCCAGTTATCTGAATTGAGCCTGAATAACTTCCATCCCCCCAGGCACTGTATAATCCTATGGGTTTAGCATATGATTATAATAATAATAATAATCTTGATCTAGGGAGCTTGAGCTACCCTCCACTTCCTGGGCTCAAACTTGATTGCTTCTCATCTGCCAGGCATTGCATGACCCTCTATGGGTTTGGTGCTTTTACAAATAGATTTTGATGCCCACGAAGGGTTTTTGATCTAAGTGATTAAAGCTATCTTTGTCTTCTTTGGATCAAGCGTCTCTCTCAGTTGCTGTCTGACCCCATAGGGGGTTTAGTTATGTTCATGGACATCCTTCCCTTGGATCAAACCTGAATCCCCTCCCCCACCAGACACTACATGACCCCTATGGGTTTAGCGCTTTCTCCTTCCCGATTAAAATGGGTAAAAAAAAATCCTCTTCCTCAGATCGAACACGACAGTCTCTCATCCTCCATTCATAATCCTCCTACGTATTTGTTGCTCCCCATGAACGCAATAACCAGTTATGTGTAGTTCAGGGTTGTACAAACTGAAATATTTCAGGAAAAAAAAAATATATAGTGTTGCGGGTATCACTGCTGGCCAACACTTTCCTCTTAACGTTGCAACAGTTGACAGTCTACATTTTTTTCAATGTAGTATGCTGGTGTTTACTGGACTTTCTTGTCCATAATTACTAGAGCATTTGCTTTGTTTGTTTCTTAAGGTGAAGTCTGGGATCTTTCCTTAATTCATGGTATAACCAAATATTTGAGGACAATTGTGTTGCAGAGGTCTGACCTTTGCTGAGACCCCTTGATCTAGGGGGCTCTTGATCTATGGAATTGGATCTATGCTCCAGTTCCCTGAATTGAGCCTGAATACCTTCCATCCCCCCAGCGCTGTATATCCCTTGTGGTTTAGCGCTTCTTTTTTATTATAATAATCCCCCACGTGCTCTGTATAACCCTACGGGTTTAGTGCTCCCCATGATTACAATAGCTCTCTCTCTCTCTGTCTCTCTCTTTCTATCTGTCTCTATATATATACATTTTTTTTTCAACAAGTCGGCCGTCTCCCACCGAGGCAGGGTGACCCAAAATAGAAAGAAAATCTCCAAAAAGAAATACTTTCGTCATCATTCAACACTTCACCACACTCGCTAATATATCAAC